CCCCCAACACACACACACACACAAAACCTCCTGATGAGTCGGTGACAGTCCGACGGAACAGTGTGGCGGTGTCGGTTTTGTTGTTTTTTTTCGTGTGTGCGTAGTTCCGCCTAACGAAGACCGTTCTGTTCTTGTCGCCCGAGATTTAACTGAACCGAATCAATCAACAGTCAAATCCAGTCAATATTCCTGTCGAATTCAATCCAAATCTAATCCAAATCCAAATCCAATTCAAACCAAATCTAATCAATCAAATCCAATCACCGTTTTCGGTGGGCCTTCCACACTTTTTTTTTTTTTTTTTTTTTTTTTTTGGTTCCTCACATTGGATTCGATTGGGTGATAGATTCATAGATTGAATCTTAATCTCATATAATCATATCACATCTAATCCGATCCTAATCTAGTCCAATTCAATCCAACGATAGGCGGTTGCAGATTTCTAGATCGAATCTAATCGAATCTAATCGAATCTAATCGCATCTAATCTAATCTCATCCAAATCCAATCCAAATCTCATCTAGATCCAATCCAAATCCAATCCAAATCTAATCCAAATCCAATCCAATCGATTGGTTTATAGATTTTTTTGCATCTAATCTAAATCCAATCAATTGGACTAGATCAGATTGCTCCACACTAATTGGAATCGAATCGACACTACCCTCTTCATCCGAATAGAACGCCCAGTCATTAGTCATTATCGCTGGCGTACAATCCACACTCAAGATCGTACTCCCACTACCGATAGGGCTTTTTCGACGACCTTCTTCACCCAAACGAAACGCACGGTTATTATAGCTGTATTTAGACGGAAAGAGACCCCAAATACAGCTTGAATGACCGTACGTTGTATTCGGGTGAAGAAGGTAAGCTCCGGACGAAATTGCATTCATATTCATTATGTACAGGCCTTCGATTCCGGTCAGATGCATCCAAGAGAGAGTCCTAAATTCTCCGAATGTGAGTATGCCCTCTATCCCCAGCTCGCGAAGTTTTCTTCCCCACCCCCCCCAAAAAAAAAAAAAAAAAAAAAAAAAATCAAACTCGATCGAACGGTTCACAATCGGCGCAAACTCAATGGAACCAAATCGAACCCCATCTAAAAATTTAATGGGGGTTGAAGAACCTAATTGAATGGATTACCGGTAGCATCCATCCCGTGCCGGGCGTTTCACACACAACTCCCTCCGCTCAGGTCACAGTCAGAATGGCACTTGCCTGAATTTCTATCCCATCTCACTGCAATGCAATTACGGCCAGACCAGGATGCATCTGACTGCAATGACGTCCAGAGGTGAGTCGACAAGTCCCTCGCCTCACTCGGATTGAATAGAAATCATAGATCGGATCCACTGGATGGATTACCCTTCTTCAATCGGGGGTGGGGTGGGGTGGGGTTGGGGGGGGGGGTACCTCTTAGCTCGCGGGCCACATACTCAACTCACTACTCCGCTACTCCGACTCTCCTTCGAGAGAAGATAAACAGGCGGGGGGCCTACCTCAGTTCTCTGCTGCTGAAGCGTGGCTGACCTATAATTCGAAAGCAGCCGTTGTATGAACCAGGCCGAAGTGCCTGGATTATACGACTTTTTTTTTTTTTTTTTTTTTTTTTTA